TCTTTCTAAATATATCTTGTTTAAATAGTTTAAATATCTTTCTAAATATTTTAAGTTTATATGTTTAAGTAGTTCAAATATCTTTCTAAATGTCTTTCTAAACTCGTGGATGACGACTCGACGAGTCATATGCAAATTTTTGTTTGCTCGTGAAGTAAGTATCGCGTATGACGATTGTATTGTGTAAGATTTCTAGCTCGAATTCTTGGTGGAAAATGGAACAAAACAAATTGTAACCAGGGATCGAAAAAATTAAAAAAGTTTTAAATAATAGGTTTCGTATAGAACTTTCTCGAGAAATGTTCTTACATTGCAAGTCCTGGTCAGAACAGATAATAAATAAATAGTAGGTACTATTATAGTACTTATAAAATATAAAATAAAATAGAATATAAAATATAAAATAATAGAGCTTATAAAATATAAAATAAAATAAAATAAAATATAAAATAAAAATGTTTCTGTCTGAGTGACAATTATCCGAGGAATAATTTGTTTATGAATATTAAAAAAATTCTCAACACTCGTACCTAGCGAATACTGTTCATTTCGAATATAGAAATACTCGAACATAGAAATGGATTTTTAATTAAAATTTGTTTCCATTACTTTTGTTACATCGATCCTGAAATATCTGTTGCGCGGTGGCACATCTCTCTATAAAAATTCCACAGAAAAGCAGATACTGTTTTTTCGAACGGAATTTTCACTTTTAAAAAGAACCTCGTCGAATCTCGATCCCTGATTGTAACTACAGTTATGTGCTCAATCAAGGAGTCAAATAAATCACCGTAACAAAGGTTGATAATTTCCAAGACGATAGCTTTCCAATACGGCGTCTCTTAAAGGTCACTGACAATTGAATGACATTTTGAATCCTCATTAATCGAGGCACACTTTTCCATGGCTACCGAAAAGGAGCGCGCTCGACGACTACCATACATACCACAGTATACAAGCCGAGCGTTTTGCCTCCGTGTATCTTCTCCCTGTTGTTCCCTGCTCGTCACAGGCAATTATTACAAGAAGTGCTTTGACACAAAAGCCCCGTTTCCTCTTACTTTCCTGCTTTGCCGCTTGACTAGTCGCATTACGATGCTCCTGAACATCGGCGGAAACGCGTGGCACATACGTTTTTTTTTTTTTTTTTTTTTTTTTTTCTTTCTTTTTTTGCTAGTTGTGTGAATTCTTGGCGGAAAATTGTGAGGTTGAAATTTCATTTCTTTCTTCGTTTAAATATTTTGTTCAATTTCCAAATGAAATATGATTTAGCATCGTAAAATTATTAAATATCGTTGAAATCTCTGAAATATACAAAAAAAATTTCTTATTCTCGTCACTATGTTAATTCTGACAAGTTAAAAAGTTGCTGCAGTCGCCTTTTTTAGGAAGCAGGTTAGCTTGGTTATCTCTGTTCAAGGAAATTTCAGTCAAAGAAATTTCCCTGGGGTTCGAAGCCCAAGATGGCTTGGCCCAGGGTTAACTCCCTGAAACACTTTATGTACTCTCGTTCGACTTTCGTTAATAGTTAGGTCGTACGTTGGATTGAATCGATCGAATTGCTGTTAACTAATACGATTGTCCTCATAGTACGGAATTCGAGGCAACTTGGGAGCTTGCTGCCTCGAAACTTAATGGAATTCTGGTTTCTAAAACCGTTACTGAAACCGCGGTTATATAAAAGCTCGCGAGTATTTTCCTGGGACTCCTGGGTGCCTTTTAATTCTCCACGTGTTGGCCTGGAAATTAGATCAACGTTCGATGAACGAGACATTCTTTGTTAATTAACACGAAAGAATCTAAACTATACAAATACTGTTCGACGCGAAGAAAAATTTTCTCCCAAAATACCGATTATCTGTAATATTTTATCTATTGTGTGTATTATAGTTTATCTCTTTTAATTTATATTTTATATCTACAATTATAAATATAATTGTATTTAGTATAATGTGCGATAAACTTATCATACAATTATTTCACGAATTTTACTTTTATAAATATTTCGTAAATTCGTAAATTTACACAATTATATATAAATTTCTTTTTTAATATAAATAATAATAAATTGCTTATATCAGTTATTTATAAATTTGTTAAGTCGTTCAGTGGAGGATATTTCATTCTACTTTCGAAAATTATTACAGATCAAAAAGATTTAACGTCTGGCATAAGAAGGTAAATTCGTAAATTTACACAATTATGAATTACATATAAATTTCTTTTTTTAATATAAATGATACTAAATTGTTGCTTACATCAGTTATTTATAAATTTTCTAAGTCGTTCAGTGGAAGATACTTCATTCTACTTTCGAAAATTATTACAGATCAAAAAGATTTAACGTCTGGCATAAGAAAGTAAATTCGTAAATTTACACAATTATGAATTACATATAAATTTCTTTTTTAATATAAATGATACTAAATTGTTGCTTATATCAGTTATTTATAAATTTTCTAAGTCGTTCAGTGGAAGATACTTCATTCTACTTTCGAAAATTATTACAGATCAAAAAGATTTAACCTCTGGCATAAGAAGGTAAATTCGTAAATTTACACAATTATGAATTACATATAAATTTCTTTTTTAATATAAATGATACTAAATTGTTGCTTACATCAGTTATTTATAAATTTGTTAAGTCGTTCAGTGGAGGATACTTCATTCTATTTTCGAAAATTATTACAGATCAAAAAGATTTAACGTCTGGCATAAGAAGGTTGATGATAGTTATTGAATGTAGCATACAAAACTTTAATTTGAGAAATTGTGAGATATTTGTTGCAAATATGCAGTGCGAGCAAAAAATTATTACACGGAATGAACAATAGTTTTAACTTTTAACGAGCAAAGAGTTTTAACAGTTACTGAACTGCATAGAAAATATACTGCATTAACGTTGCATAAATATTTAGTAGGGATTAAACATGTATAAATATTTATAACGTTACACGCGTTCTATTTAGAAAACACCTACACTCGTTTGTTATTTCCGTGAGCAGAAATTCACGCTGTTATACAAAATTATACGTCACATTATGTAATATATACACAGTTACAAATAAATTCATACGTGTTGTATAAAATTTACAAATAAATTCATTCGTTATTCTGCACGTTACTTGGAATTCATCGTTCGTTCACTCGAACGTGAAGCCAAAGAGTTCAAAGTTGAAGATCACATATTTTTCAGATGTAAAAACGAGTCTCGGATTCGTAATCAGCGCGCGAGAATTTTTATCAGGATTATATCTATCTAGCCACCGTTGTTGGACAAAATGCAAAAGAAGTCGAAAATTTGCATCTGAAGGCAGCAATTAAGAAATCTTTAAAATCGAATGATCGTGTTTTCCGTTGCCTCGAACATCGAGAGAACGAACGTCGAGAGCAATGAAACTGTACGAAACACCGGCTCTTTACACTTCATTGAGAAGTTCGGAACGCTTCATGAAATATTTATAGCTATACCGGTCGTCCCTAATTTTCCCGACATGCAAAACCAAGCGCGGTTGGTTCGTTAAAGGAGAAGAAAAGTACAAAGAAAGGAAGACGGCGGGAAGTTCGCGTGTGCGCGTCGTTGCACCTCGCGGAAAAATAAGGCCGGACAAGGTAGATAAGCCGTTGTTCTTTCAAACAGGAAATACGATTCCTTCCAATTGCGTGACTCATCATCAGCCACTATCTTTCTTTCCCTTTCTCCTTTTTTTTCTTCTTTCGTTCTTGACGTTTTACTCGCCCAGCTGAAGACACCGAGAGAGAGAGAAAGAGAGAGCAGCGCGGCTTCGGTTGTAGGCTTTCACGTAGCTGCCAAAAGTTTTTGGCCAGAGCGACATTCTATTTCGCTCCAAATTATACACTCGCTCGTGGAAGTGTCTCGAAAGCTATTTAAATTTAATTCGATGTTCGAGAAACTATTGTGACATTTAATAGCAATGATATTGAAAATATTGTTCAGTAATAACGCGTAAATAAATGCAAATGCAACGTATATTAAATGTCGGGAAATATTAAACATTAAAGTAATATAAATGATGCGTGATAATTTCGTATGAAGAAATCGTGTACAACCTTATTTTGGAGCTTTCATTTTGCGTCATTTATTTTATATTTTTATTTCTACAGGTTATATATTATATTTTATTTTATTGTATATTATATTGTATTTTTATTATATTTTATTTTATTGTATATTATATTGTATTTTTATTATATTTCATTTTATTATATATATTACATATTATATTTTATTTTATTGTATATTATATTATATTTTTATTATATTTTATAATTATATTTTATTTTATTGTATATTATATTTTATGTTATATTTTATTTTATTGTATATTATATTATATTTTTATTATATTTTATTTTATTATATATATTATATATTATATAATTATTATATAATTATTTATTTTATTATATATTATATTGTATTTTTATTTCTCATTTGTGTAACTGATGAGAAATAAGTTATCATACTACGTGAAAGCATTGAAAAATTTGTTTCGTGACTAAATTGGAAGCCTGCCCTTTCGCGACGGCCTCTCGAAACTTGCCGCACGATTTTGCCCGCCGATTTATTGAACTTTTGACTATTTGAATATTGAATAATTCAAGAAATCGCAACATTTTCGTCGGTATATTCGTTTTCGCCTGTCCCGCTGCGAAAGACTGATGAACCTATGTATATTCAAAAATATTCGGACCCTGACTCGATTCTTTTTTCCCAAAGTTGAATATGTTACAATTATCGTGCGACAGTAATTATTATTGTATTGTTATAAAATCATAATCATCGATAAAATCGTTGATTTTTCCAAAAAAAAAAAAAAAAAAAAAAAAAAAAAAAACAAACAAATTGCATTGTAGTGACAGTATGAAAATTATAATATAGTGATAAAAATGAAATTTATGATTCATTCGAGACCTGGTTGGGACATACAATTAGTTGTACAATAGGTAAATGAGAACAAAATGAACAAACGTTAGAATTCAACGATACGTAAGTTTGATTTATTCTATAAAACTTTTTGTTTTTAACAGTATCTTTCTTAAGCGTATCTCTATACATACACGTGTTATAAAAATACATAGTAAAGAAATTTGTTTAAGAATAATTGTGGAAGGAAAAGGCTAAGAAAATACTCGGCACATTAAATACAGAGTTGTTAAATTTCCTTTGGAGTAGAGTTTCGAATCTTTTGTAAATGCGACGTTTGAACGAGAGAAGGAAATGATGTACATATGTAAGACTAGTTTCTAGTACTTTTTGATATAACAAATTATCGTTTTAATAAAACGATATGAATTTTACATGTAACGACACATTAAGGCACGTTTTCTCTCCATGTACGATATAACAGCGTCGATACAAGAATAAATTAGTGTAGGAAAAGCATATTTTATATGGGTATACTTTTTTCTTTTTTTGGCTTTTGTAGGTTTTTCAAAAAGAATCTCGATTTCTTATATGGAATTATCAGGAGTTTGTTCAATGTAATCAGATTTATAGCACGAGAAAAGAATAAGACGTGTGCTATTTATCTTCTGTCATCGATAATTTTTTCACACACGCGTTAAATTACGAGTATAACGTTTTCTCTATCCACTCTTCCATCGTGAACGTTGCCGTGTTGGTCGAGTCTGGATCCCGTTCTCGGAAAATATCTAATAATAAGAAACTCTGTATGTATGAGTTCATGTACATACTTGCATACATGAATATCCCTATTTATTGCAGGATATCCGCTTACCTATCATTGTTTTAAGTCGCACCGCGCACATTATGTAATCGTCGAAGGTGATCATGCCATCCTTCGTTCCATAACGATGTACCAAGATATTTAAAATGTGATTATTGAGTCGATAACCTGCGCTATTCAACGCTTGCCTCAATTCAAACGCGCTCAATTGTCCCGACTCATTTTTGTCGTATAATTTGAATACAGCCTAAAAATTGATTGTTTTTCATTAATTGCTTTCTCTTACTCTCTTCACTTACCAATTACTTTGTTCTGTATGTATTATATGTGTTTCTTTGATTTTTATTCGAAAATTGCAAACAATGATTGAAAGTGATAGATTGATATACCCTCCATTTCCTTATGTCGTTCCATAACGTTTTAAATTCTTCAAATCCAAGCTTTCCAGAATGATCTGTATCTAGCATGGCGACCATACTACGGCATACATCCTTACTGAATCCTTTACCACTCGTTTCTGAAATAGAGAAAACATTTCCTACTTATAATTTACAGTATGGTGTAACACCTACTATGTACCTATTCGATTCAATGATTGAACCTATTCTTTAAATTCTCTTACACTGTACAGACATTATGGTTGACTACGTAAACATTAGAAAGCAGAAGATAAATATCAGAGGATTATGGTTATCATTAGACAATTGACGATGACAACACCACAGATATATAAATGATATATAAACGATAAATACTAGATAACACTAGGCTATAATTAATAGGATTATGATAAAGCTACGTAACAGATTTTTACATGTTGCATTCAATGAATTAGATTTCCAAGCAATTGTTGATCGTTTATACGTATCTATATATGCATATGCATATGGTATATTTTTTTTTTCGCAATAAAGACACATGCACAAAATTGATTAAATATTTATTCTTCGAGTCTTTTTCACTTGCAATTGTATGCGTATGTATCTACTTACTCGTATAGATATGTTTATCTTATCGTTCGTTTGCTTTGTATTTTGACAAAATAAACGATGATAAGTTCCCTTTTTTTTTCTCTCGTTACTGTGTCGTGAAAAAGAGATTGAAAAAAAAAATCACGATTATGTTATAATACTTTTAATTGCAATAGTCGAGTCATTCTTTTTTCGTTGTGACTAAAAGAAGCTAACGTTGCAAAATGTCAAAATGCTACATACATACATACGTGTACGTAAGTGTGACCTGCAATGTGATAAAACTTGAGGTTTATATGTATGTCTAAGTTACCAGATAGTGCCTTACCTACAGTCTTATTGTACTGTTCGTTATTACAAAGAATGCCGCACAGCAGTGAGATGAGAGTGTCGATAAACGAACCATCTCCTTGTACAGTTTCACGGGCATGAGCCTCACTACGACGCGCCGACTGCGGTAGTTCTACCCGTAACATACAGCTACATGTTAACATTAAACTTTACATACATATGTACATCCGGGTCAAATGGATCGATATATACGTTGAAAAAGAAATTAAGACTTTCAATAATATCCTTGACAACATATTATATTAACGACATACATCATTTTTACGCAGAGAAAGCGTATTCTTTGTCGGAAAATGCTGCAAGTGTGTTCCCATCACCTTTCGATTACTTTGCAATTTTCAATCGTAACACGCTTGCAATGCCTATCATACACGTATATACTACTCGTAGGTACTACGTACGTATGCATCACGTTAAGAAACGTGATTTCAATCAGAATGTGAATTGATCAGAGAATAATTCACAAACTCGAGGTATTTCGGTTTCTTACGTGGACCCAAATGTATTTATGTACGAACGAATGAAGAAAACCAAACATGCATAATTACGCGAATGTTAAAATTCAAGTTGCATTGGCATTCACAGAATATGTGTATATATGTAATTGATCCACGGTGAATGAAATGAATTAATCGAACCGAAATGGTGGTGCGTTAACAAATTGCTACAATTGGAATGCGTGCTTTTGCTAATTGCGTGTCTTTTCATCAACTATTCTTGAACGAACAATTGACGACAAGAAAGCGTAAATGCACAAATTCTGCTACGGTCAATAATCGCAAACAGTATTAGGCGAAGAAGCAGTTACATACGAAAGCTTTACGAAAGTAAAAGTACAAGAGCTCTTTTCTTCAAGAACAAGCAGATGATAGTCGTAACAACGAAATTAAAACGATAACTTATTTCTAAAACTTTCTTCCTTTCTCTTTTACATGGTGAATGCTCGTGAGTATTAATACCAGTGTTTATAATATAATACAACAAACGATATTAACCGCAATTGTATAAGACTGTATTTCGGTTACGTGTATTGCGGTGAAATTAAAGTAGATACATTACAATTACGAAATTACATTTTTGTCAACTTTACTTACAACGCGATTTTTTACATTTACACGGCTGAAATATTGATGTTTGAAGTATAAACAAATAGATGGTAGGAATAATCATACCTTTTCGCATCGCAAAATCTAAAATTTCCTTCAATTCCATCCAATCCACTTCCATATCGTCACCAGCGAGCTTTTTGAAGAACTCTCGAACTTTTTCTGCATTTCGATCCTGATCCGATTCGTCTTGAACCTTGAAAAGGTAAAAATATTGAAATTTAATAATACAACGGTAACATGGAAAGTCCGTTTTATCGTTACTAGTATTGTACGGAATACGCATATCGTGTTAAACTGAAATTTATTCGTGTGCAAAATGAAAATTCATTAGCGTGCAGATTACTTACCCTATCGCCATCTCCGTGCGTGTTATCACCTTTAGAGTTAATGACCTAAAAGCCAAGCAATATGGACATGCGAATTGTTATGAATTATTATTATTATTATTATTATTATTATTATTATTATTATTATTATTTAGAATTCACGATCATCGAGTAAATTCTTTTGGGGATCAAGTCAGTTAAACACATGTAATTAAAATTAAAAACATAGTAAATCTTGATACTCTTAGGAAGCATTATAGAAGCTTAGTTAAGTGCAGGTCAATATGTAGTCGTAAATGCACAAGTATCGTGGCGGGCAGAAAGAAGGCTCCTCTCGAATTAGGACAAAAAATATATATATATATATATATATATATATATTTATCGACGTCGCGTGAAAAACAAAGATACACACGTATATCGATCTCTGCCTCTTACCCTATCGTCAATTTCTCCAACGCCAACTTCATCGTCGTTTTCTCTGAAAAACGTATAGTTTTGTTAATATCAACATTTTCGTTCGCTACGACCCTTCTCGAGTTAAAAAAGAGAGAGCACTCACTCCATGTTATTCTTATTTTCGGAGAAGATTCGCAATAAAAATTCACCCTCTTCGTTAGGATCGAACGTACTCGGAACTATACAATAGACGCCAGGTGGTAGTTTGAAACGGCACGTTACTTCTCGTAAATTTATGAACAGTGATCTTCCAACGGACGCATTGTACTTGAAGAAATTGACATCCAGTGGCTTAGGTAACCGATCTGGATACTCCAGCTGTAATAGATTCGCAATCGTAATCGAAAATAAAGGAATGGTAATCGAAGAATTTTGAAGGTTACGATAGCTGTACGACGACATGCGAACATAGTGCGTACATGATATATCGCAAATCCAATACTGAGACATTCGGCACCCATTCTTCTCTGCGCTCGCCTATTTTTCTGCATCAGTGCAACAATCACTGTACACTTGTCGTCATCCTCGTCCGGGTACTCCAGGGTAATTCGGTATTGCGGGTTATGCCAGAAGGTTTCTGTAACCCACGTGAAAAAAAAAAAAAAAAAATCACACGCGTACGAAATATAAATCTATCCCTGTTTGGAAAATGACTATACAACTTTCATATAGTTGAATATGGACGTTGAAGAGGGACGTTTACCTAAAAAGTTCCTACAACCTCCTGCCGTAACGCCACGCACCCATTCCCCTTCGAACACGCTCATCTCCCATTTCTTCTTGCCGGCGTTTAAATCGTCTTCGGTCAACGAATCTGGATTCAAGTTACATATTTCTAGCTGCGTGAAATATCGCGTAAAGTCCTGAAATGACATCCAAAATTCACCGTCCATGTCGAACGTTAGGCCTAACTCATCTTTCTCGTGGTCGGGAATGAATCTCCATTCTGGCGACCTATTTTGAAAATGACGGTTCGAAAATGATCCTTGTTGTTGAATATCGTACGTACGTATCGTACGTGAGTATTCTACTCGTAAAGGCAAAGTCTATCGAACGACTTACTGATCGCTCCACGGACCATTCCATTCTGCCTCGTTACCCCACGGATTTCGAAGCCTGAGTAGCGGTATTCTCCCATATTGATTCGGCGTTTGAATCTCCACGTATTTCACGCGTGTAATACTGTAAGCATGGCCTCTGATCAGTCCTTGAGGCGTCTCGGCTTCCAATATATTTGGATCAGGCTGAAATAGTAACTCGTATTCGAGTTTGATCGTTTGATGGAACGCGGCTATGTACAAACGTACGTAGCCGCATAGTCATACAAACTTGTAGCACGTATAGATACGAAAGCACGAATTTGCGATTTACCTCTATCGAACAACCCATTAGCGAGTTCCTCTCGAAAGCTTTTAACAAAATGCTAAATAAATTTGGAGGGGTTTCGTCCATCTGATACATTTCCGTCACGCCACCTGTAAAATCCTCCATGGCCTCGCAGGTTGTCCCACCTTTCAACGCTTCGTACGAGCCGTGAAGTTTGGCGTACGCCTTCTCCAGAAGAGCGCTCCAGAATTCGTTGACCTCCGCCGAATGCAAATATAGTAGCTCGCCGTGATACGTCGGCAATCTGTCGTCGATCACCACGTCTACCCATCTACCGTACTGCCAGAATCTGTTTAACATTAACACGTCAATACACACGCGTGTATGTACGCACATGTGCATACGTGGCCGAATATGTAAACGTAAACGTAAACGTTCGCTCGCAACGTTCAATTCGGCGAATATATCTGAAATGCGAATCGTGGGAATATACCTGAAATGAAATATACCAGCGTAGTTTTCCTCGAAACTCTGGTCTTCCGGAACTACTTGGAAAAACAAGTTGCTATCCATAGTTAGATTCGCCACTGCTGCCAGCAACCAGCAGTCCCCCAATTCCCCTTGTTGAACGTCGAATCTGGAAAAACCCTCGACAAACAGTTGAGGGTTGTCTGCGATTTCCTGCAATCAGACACTCCACACCGTGAATATCTGCAATTACCTAAGCCTTCTGCTTAAGATAACGTTTCCACGAACGTCTCTTTTCGGTCATTGTTTCTTTCTCAACAAATTTTTCGACAAATCTTCTGCGTCTGATTCTTTTAACGCTATATTTCGTGGATATTACAGCTACTTGGAAGTAAACGATATGTATAAAAACCAATGCTACGAGGAGGCAAAGGAGTCTGGATGAGACTCTGACGATCGAGTCGAGATCTTTTCTTTTTTTTGTCCGAAAAAAATCTGAATCCTAAATCTGATCCCTTTGATCAATAATTTCATATTCCGTCCGACTCTGGCCAGTTAAGAAACGAATGAATTATTTGCGACAGCTTTTATCAGCGAAAAAAAACTTTTGTCAGCCGCCAGGAGGACGGCTGATCGCAAGAAGAAAGACGTGCATACGTTATAAATTGTAAAGGGTCGAAGAACGATATTGGAACAGAGTTGCCAGTAGAAACAGAACTCGACGTACCATCGGTCGTTTCCATTCTATGTATCTGTCGGGCCTTCTCGAAAAGTACAACGACGAATCGTCCGCTGGAAATTCCGGATCCTCGAAAAGCGTCCCCGTGGCCAAACACTCGTGCTTCAGTTTGCTAAAGTCTTGCACCGCTGCCCGAGCTCTGAACCCAGAACCCTTTTCGCCCAACTAAAACAGAAACACGTAGCTTTGTTGCCTTTCCTTTTTTCCACACAAATTTGTTTCGAATTTTTCTTCTACGTGACAATGATTCTGATATAACAACAAGTCCAAGACAGCCTACGTTGTAGCAAGATTTCCCAATGAAATTTTCAGTTGTTGTCATTAGTGGTTTATCTTCGTAAGTTTTTACTTTCTCTTTCGTTGATCCCGACTGAGAGTCTATGCTTTCTATTCCGTTGAATTTTCTACAAGGCAGAGATTTTTCTTGAACGATACTATAATTTTCGCAGTGTTTTGACCGTTGTAACTTGTCAGTTATAGCTACACCATCAGCTTTTGCCGTGTTAGTCAAGTGTCTGTAATTTGTAGACTCGCGTTGCTCCATTCCCGATATATGTATGTATGAGTAGAAGGAAAAAGTATCGTATCGTACGAAAAATTGTACTAGATTTTTTGAATCTTTCTCAGAAACAGAAAATTCAGAAAGGGAAAAAGAAGAAAGAACAAATGCCTAGATTTTTAAACGTCTAAATAGTTTCGTTCCATTGAACAAACTAACGTAGATATACATTCCTGATTACGGAAATGTACTGTGACTGTGAGCCTTTAATTAATCTTATCATATATGGCAACACTTTGTTACAAACGGATGAAAGACTGACCACAGTCTATCGTTGGCGGTGCGACGTAAAAAAAGAAAATGTTTTACAGATAAAATTTTAATCATGGATATTAATATTATTAGTATCGGCATTGATATCAGTTTTGAGATCAATTTCAATATATGTATACCAGTCTCTCTTCAGTCCTTCATTTTCATTTTTATAAGTTGAAAACGATGCATTTACCGTGAAATTTTAGCACTTTATCCGTTCAGATTAATGTCCTTTCGATACTGTCTAGCATTTATTGTCCGAGTATAAATTGATGATTGAATTTGGTACTTTGGTACTTTAGTAAATTGTTTTCTACGTCTATATAGATGTAGAAAAACAATTTGATTTGGCTAAAATTTTAAACGTTTACCATATTTTTGCACAACAAGTACGTACATACAGGTACTTGGAAAAATAAATTAGAAATATGAGATAGAATCGTTCTGTTTGGAGCTTAGTCCTTTGTGAAAATCGTTTAATTTCGTTTCAAAAATTCTTTTGACCTTTAGGCAAGCTTTATTTATAGAAAATTGTTGGAAGAGAATCTCGTTTCGAAACTCGTGCAAATAAATTCTCTTGAGAGAATAAAATTTTTATCTTGGAAATTTGCATCGCCGCACGTGCAATGAATGGAGTGGCTGATTAGTAAAGTAAAGAATGCGTACGCGTTGATAGAATTGTCGCAGTGGTACGTCATCACGTCACTGAAAATAATCATTTCTATTTCATTGTTTAATGGGTATTTCACAAGTGGGTATGTCACACGTACATACATACATGGTATATAAATTTTACACTCATATTCGATGAAAATGCATTTGTTACGCCAAATACGCTAGATACGTAATTATTTAATAATACCGAAATAATTTGATTACTCTTATTTCTCGCTATCTAGTCCCTAATTTCAAGTTAGATCAACTAATGTAATACACATGAAAATGATGAAAAATCGTACATAGTATCCTACATACATATATAATGTAGGGGTGGGGATGTTATCGATATTACTCAAGTCGCACGGCTTTATCTCATTCGAATGCGACTTTAAATCGTATTGTGTATTTAGCAGGCATTTATCTCCACTGTAATCTCGTGAATCATGCGTGAGTAAATTGGACATTACTGCGCAAATTTTTCTATAATGAATTTATTCAGCTATTGCGGTATTTGGAACAATTTGGATTAGATTTATATACAATAATGTATCGCCAATCGCATCAACGCGTTGCAGTATCGATACGGATGCAAATAAATGAATTTGAACAAAGTGGTAGTGGTTTAGTACCAGTTTAGTACCAAAGTATGTATGTGGTTATACATATATTTACTTTCGTTTATAAAGCCAATTGGAAATATCATTACTAAATATTTAGATGTTACGTAATGAAACAAACGAAAATCATTGGAAAATGAGATACGTAGCAACAAGTTAAGCCCATTACGTGTCATTTTAAGTTGTATGATGCAGCTAAGGATTAGTAATGTGATACATCATGCATTGATGTTGAATGTCGAGGGAAATTGATGGTACACACATGCCTATAAAATACGCAAGTATGTAGCTGCTGTGTAAAATTTCATTTATTACGAATTTTTATATGGCCTATCTTCTCAAAAGAAGAAGATTGGCAAATCATAAAGTAAGATAAGATTAAAGTGGTCGTTTAATATAATGCTTATACGTATAGAACATTATTTAACAATTTAACGCTAAATAGAGAATAGGAATTCAGATTATTCAGTTTTATGTATAGAAAAGATATTTCACAGCCAAGGAAATAATTATTCATACTATTCCACATGAATATAATTCAACGAAAAAGCGACTTGCTGCTCCCACCATTGGTTGATACTAAATAATCTTTACTTGAAATACGAGAATTTTAAATCGAGTAAAATGTCGAAACGTCGCGAGCAATATGTTGTGACTTATTAAAAATCGTTGTTCCTCAAACGAAATTATTTAAACCAAGTTTCTCAAATGACAACAATTTTCAAAATGAGGAGAATGATTGTGTTAACATTGACAGCCAGTTGTACGCAAGTGTATATGTATGTATGTATGTATGTATGTATGTATGTATGTATGTGTGTATATATGTAATCGCGTCAGCGTCCAAGTTATCAAGCGCAAAATGTAAGTAAAGACTCGAACGCCTTTAATGATACGCGTACCACTTTGATGTTGAAAAGCGACGGGAGGAAGCGTTTAACTTGCACCGCTGTTTTAACGAATACGTCGTCGAGCGAAGCTCCATCCTCGTGATAACTCATCTCTTTCGCGATGATTACACTGTAACTGACTACTCTGTAAAGAATCGCCACCGATCACCGATCACTGATCACTGATCACTAAATGTCTACACGCTGTGTCTACACGTGATGCCTCTTAAAAACTGTGCAAGTATGAGTTTACTATACTGTGTGTTATTCGCGCTTCCTATGGAGAACCAAATAATTTTAGACCAGGAAAGTTAGGGGAATTGATATTCCACGAGTTTTTACCGTGCGGATATGAAACCGTTACGTTGACAAGTTCGAAGACACGAACTGAGCTCATTTTCCTTTCACCCTTACCTGTGTGTCGTACCATGTTTCGTCACGCAACGTATAACTAAACGCGCCATAACGCACACGATTGTTTCATGGAATTTTTTTCTTCGGAACGTCAATCGTGGCATGTTAAATGGAACAGACCTGACATGTTGTTGATATCAAACTGTCTGCCGTAATTTTGCAGTTAGGTTACAATTTACATATGTACATGTAGTTCGTACATATACATGCTGGTATAAATAGACATTAGAACTCGTCTACGTTCGAATTCGATTCGGTTTCATTTGGCATATCCAGGTACACATACCTACAGTTACAATTTACAATTAGATATCTCTATCCTATTGGTGGAGGTTTTCGGCGTCGCATATGCCGTATGCTATTCACTGTGTCTTGTGTATTCGACTTAATGGCGCGACATGTGCACCATCTGTGAAACACGACGTGAATCAACACGCAGCAGCGCGATTTTTTAAAATCGAAATACGTTACCATTGTTTTTCCAACGAACGTTGTTGCATAATCGATGCAACGGGCGTTTGCCAACCAATTATTCTGACTTTATCACGCAAAACACGAATACGTAACAGCCATAAGATATTGTAGCTTGATACCAATACTCACTTCCGGTTTCGATGCTACTTGGAGTACAATTTCTGGTTCGACCACCTCTGCTCTCCATCCGTAAGAAGAGCGATTCATTTTGCTTTAGTTACGATTTCACTACTCAGTTATCCCGTTTGCTGTCAGAGTCCTGGTGCTAGACGTGCATGAATGCAAATATGTAAATAGGAACCGTGTCACGCGTCGAAACAACAAAAATTTTCTTCGTGTTAAACAACGTCGAAAAACGTATCTGACGATGATTGGCCAAAATAATAAATAAATAGTGTCAACTGATAGGAGCGTCCTTTTAAAACCTTATTGCGAATGATGATAACATACTAATTTGAGCACCGGTTTTGATCTAGCCACACTGCTGATCACCTAAATCACTGCGCGTATGTCGGAAATGCACGTGGTTTTCATCTCTTAACGCGACTCGATCATTCTCGTACTTTTCGCACCTTTCGCAGACAGCTCGCACTTGCAGCTTTGCACGTATCACTGAACTTTGGGTTTGTAATTAGCGTTGGCGTTTTGTTGAACGCTTGTCACATAATGTGGCGTACGAGACGAATGACTAACCGTTTAACTGCCGTATCTACATCTGCATATATATATATATATATATATACGTATACGTATACGTATACGTGTGTATATCCTGAATATCTCGTGACCACGTCTATATAATTCACCTGTTATGTGCTCTTGTTTTTATTACAGTTTCGTAACACTTTGGTGGTTTCTAGCACATGAAAAAGCCGTTTCTTCCAGTTTCGCTTTAAATTTAATTAGACGAGCGCCTAAGTGAACGTGAAAATGAATTCATCTGGTATTCAGCCATTGAAACGTAATCGATTTTCAAATTATGACAATCGTTAAAAATCAATAATTTTTATAACGCGCATGTGTTGGAGGTAATTATTTTTTTTTTTTTTTTTGAACGAAGTATTCGACTTCGTTGTGTTTTTAGTTTGGTAAATATATGTCAAAAGGAAAGGAATTTGCCTCGAAATGCGCGAGTATTTTATCGTACCGATCATCTCGGGAAAAAGATATCATGCCATTTAAAGGAAATCTGGTGAAAGCGGGCCTCGACGATGCGTCACGTTGTTCCAAATTTGGTCGAGCATATTACTACCATGACGTTGAATTTTTATATTTCTCTGTTTTTCTTTTTTTTTCTTTTCTTCTTTTTCTTACACGACTAGTTGCGCGACTCGAAACGAAATTATAAAAAAACGACACTGCAATTGTCCCAAACAATACGTGTGTATTATCTACGCGTGTATATCTAATGATTCTCAAGAACGTAGAAATTTACTACCGAGACACATGTAGAAATATATTATATCATTGAAAGCAAGATATTTCTGCAATCGTTGGGCAATGAAAACTCAATTGTTCTCCGATAGTTGTCATCAATTTTCAGTGAATTTTTAAATTTTGTATATACGTGTATACGTATGTAAGCATGTTATAAATAAAATGCATTGATCGGAAGTCACGCCCTTAGGTAGCATCACGATGTCAAGGTTAATATGAAACGCACAACTCTCACCCACTGTATGTACTCCGGTCGATCGATGAAATTCAATATCTGGACAATTCTTCCGGCGTAAAACCGGATGGAGAGATAAATAATGTAAAAAAGAAAAAAAAGAAGAAAAAAAAAAGAAACAAAAGGATTCTTCGTATTTGCGATTGAAATTTTTTGTTTGTATTATTTATTAGTTTGTATTATTTAGAGTAAAGCGGACTGAAAGCGTTAAAGTTTTACAGGAAATTCACGAGCTTGCACTAAGCTTGTTAAGCCTTGTTAAGCTTCGGTTGATATTTTGTTGACGAGAAATTTTCGCTCACGACAGCGAGGAACCGCCGTCTTCGATATTCAGAAATGCTCGCGAAACACTGACTTTTCTCGGCGGAAAGATGCCTGGAACGAAAGTATCCTCCCCCGCTCGATGAACGATGGCGCAGTGTCGGCGCGGTGTCGGCGCGGTGTCGCGTCGCGTCGCGTCGCGTCGCGTTGCGTCGTGACGCTCGGCTATTCCATATAGGAATAAGTATCTATGTACATGTTACATGTGTACATACGTGTGTACATGTGCACTTGCACGCGAATGCCATACTGTCTGCAATTTTCCTACTTTACGTTCAGTTTGTGTGTCCCTTTTAATCAATCTAGGATAAAATTATATCATGAACAAATACAAAGGAGAAAGAATAGTATAATTTGATATTTATCGAGCTGTTTAACTTTTTTTCGCACTTGATGAAATGTGCTTGCTTGGTCAGTCATTCAAGTATCGTTATTGTTCGCACAGCGTGAAACGCGAGCATATTGATCATTATTGTTTTGTTTAATTGAATGTTACAGTTAGATGAAAGTTAGTCAAGTATCAAAGAGAAACGATTGTACGTACATGATAATGTTACCTAGGTGCTGTAACTTGTGCCAAAAGAGAATAACGAATGATCGTTTTCGCAATCACATTACTGGCATGCTTTCAATAAAACTTCATTTCCGTGATTTAAACGACATCTGTACATTATCGGTACTTCCATCTGTGCAATAGTTTGGCATTGTCGATGCGTGAAATAAAGTAACATTGAACATGGTACGAGAAATGACGGATTAAAAGTAAAAGTAAAGTCTAGACTAAGCATCGATTAACATTTGAACGTTATGGTATGGCTGGTATGGTCGCCATCAGATAGAGATCAAACATAGTTGCGATATTACAGATATTGTTAAACAGCGCGAGTAGTTGTTTGGGTAAACGTGGCAAACTAAGAGGGGATACTTCGTAAATAGCAAGTCGGCAATTAAAATTAAAATTAAAGATGAGGAAACTTTATGTCGAAAGATATATATGTACGCGAAACGCGGCAGCTGCAGGAAAACTGGGTAACAACCTTGGCGATGGGGGACTAAAAATATGAATTTTGTTTCAGAAGTCGTAGACTTCTAGAGGCGGCGTGTACGAGGGGATTCGTTTTATGTCGAGGCTAAATTTGGCACCGTTCCAAATGGTGCTTGAAAAAAAAGAAAAGAAAAAAAAAAAAGAAAAAAAGAGAAAAAGAATTTCTCCCTACTAACATTAGAGGGGCATAGTAGTCGAGCGCTGAGCGCGTCGCGTCGCGTCGCGTCGGATCGTCTTCGTTCCCGCCACCGGTTTTTGCCAAGTTAATTCTCCACTCGCAGCGTAAATAGGTAAAGATGATCGAAAAGGCGAACGAAAGAGTTTTAGGTGAAAAATTGATCGACAAATCGCCACAACTTGTACGTACGTATGTATGTATGTATGTATGTATGTATGTATGTATGTATGTATGTATGTACAATGCAACAATCAATGTATCTTCCTGTCGATAGGTGGTTTAGGTACATAGTTTATAGATCGGTGGTTACGTCGCGTTACGTGTTTGAATGTTACGTGTAATTATTAAAAAAAAGTATGGGAATGACGGACCTTGAAAACAGCATTCGCTGGATGATGGACATCGCCTGAACCGGACAGTCCTCCCCGGAGTAACCGTGACAAGAGATTGTAGCGACCGTGCGTGGACCATGTGTCCTCCGGCGATTTAAACAGGGTAGGGTTCCTACGAATAAATCAGCTTTTCTGGAGATCTGTTGGCAGCTACTTGTTCTCGATGGAACAAACTTTCTGAAATCCCGTGCATTCTACTCCACACACTGACACGAGACGACGCGACGCACGCGTTTCATAACTTTCGTAACTTTCGCGATTTTCCCCGATTACTGATTCCACAACATTGCTAATTCCTTGACGACTGACGAAAGGCAGAGAAAGGCGAAAAGAGAGAAACCGAGCGCCAAATATACATGATACATATCATATGATGTGCTGTCGTCTTCGTCGTTCGGAGGATGAAGTTCCGATCGAAATCGTAACAGCTTACCCTTTTATAAATTTGTACGTTCTCAAGTTATTGCTATCGTCGGCGACTACTTTCACGTAGTAGTAAGAGTAATTCTTAGACATTGCTTTAGCAAAGATTGGTGAAAATTTCGCGGTTTCGAAATTTTAACGAGGACGAGCGTAGGAAACCGTAGAGTTTAGAGATTGAAATGACGAGATTGCCGAAAGGGTGGCAGGAACGCGCACTGTTCGCCGAAAGCTACACTCGAATTGTCGTCTGTACCCCTTCTTCTTCGTTCCATCGATGCGATGCCTGCTACTACTATCTGCTTGTCTGCTCGTTTACTGTTTTCTTCGCTCGTGTATGCGTAGTATCCGTACGTATGTATCTATATTTTGAGACGTCTGCACGTCTGCACGTCTGCACGACTTGCCAAGCTACCTATCTCAAGAATTTTCATCGTTTACGCTCCAATTGGCAAAAGGAGTTGATTCTTTTCTTTTCTTTTCTTTTCCTTTTTTTTCTTTTGGTATTTGTACGATGCACGTGTTCTCTCCACTTTACGACAGCATTCTAGCGGCTATAGCTTCTGCTCGGAAAATCATTAATTTCTCATTGAAACGTTATCGACCGTTTATCAGTCAGGGAAGAAAATTGTTTTCCTCGTAGCACGTAGAAATCTAAAGACGTGTTATGACGTCAAAGTGTCGATCCATTCTAGCAATTGTATTTCTTATTCCTTACCTTGTGGCGGCGAGCGTATTTTTAAATGAGTTTAACGAGCGGCGCTGTTTCATTGCAAATGGAAAAAAAGGAGAAAATAAAGATAGCCAAACTTGGCCGGTACTCCATCTGTCAGGCCTGTGTCAGTTTGCTATCGGGATTGGTGGTGAATTCAGTGGGCATCATTTTTTTCTTTTTTTTTTTTTCACAAACATGTTTTTATTACGTTTCACGTACAGATTACATGGTGGTTGACTTTCATACGCTGAGCGTACGTAAAGTACGTCGTCGTTGTAAGAAAAATAAAAAAGGGCCTGGTGCACATTTCCGCGGTTCGAAAGGTTCGTCTTTTCGTTTGCCCATTTTCTACGATAAGGATCGTATACAACGAGATCGATGTTGAAGTAATGGAATTTCTACCATCCCCGTCGTTCATTTACGGGCTAACAACGAGCGAACAAAGTAGGCGAGAGTATTCTATTAAGTTATCACTCACTCGCGCACCGATACCGCCTCGAGAAATTATCGTTTCATCGATCAATTCACCCCTTCTTTTCTCAGTAATTAAACGTTTCTACGGAGGAATTACGATCGTTGTCCGGTCCGGTATATATACGTGCTATTTTTTTAAATATATCATAATATACATCGAGGATGAAGGCGATTCGACCAGCCTTGTTTAAATTTTTCTGATAGATATACGTACATACATACATACGTGTATATATCTATATACAAGTGCATGTATACACATCCTGTATATGCATATGTATATACGTATCTATACATGTATATATAATGTAACGTATATATACATAAAAGTTTACAGGCAAGTGTCAAAAGGCGTACGGTTTTTCACTTTTTTCTTTCTTTGTTGTAAATTAAGTCTTGTATATAGCGTATTCTCTCTCTCTCTCTCTCTCTCTCTCTCTCTCTCTCTCTCTCTCTCTTTCACTCTCTCATTTAAAT